GGGGGGGGACGGGGCAGGGAGGGGGATGGGACACGGACCTAAAAAGTTTTAAAACAGCATATAAGCCTGTGAGTACTTAAACTGTCAGCCTGTCTCTCGCCAGAGAGCAGCATCTGAAAGGCACTGACTCCGACTGCTTCCTAGCTGCTACTGTCTAGCTAGGGAGTGTCATCTACTTGCAAAGGATTGGATAGGATACAATACTAGTATTGTTATCCCTACATCATTTCTTTTTTTCCCCCCTATATCCATTCCTTTTGAAATTTTTTTTTTTTTTTTTTTTTTTTTAAACGTGAAGAAAAAGAAATCTGTGTTTCGCCTGACAATAATCTCTGGCACTATTCAGGAAAGCACAGCATAGATCAGATAGATTACATACAGATACCTACATACACACACCACACACAGTCAGGCACCTTTTCCATCACAGGAAAACATGAATTGTGCTGGAAAGGCCAGTGCTGCCAAGTCTAGGAGGGGAGTAAGAGGGGGCAGAGAGAGAGGTGTCAGTTCCCTGTCGCCCAAGCTGAGAGAGAGCCTTTTTTCAACCAGCCATGAGGCTTCTGCTGGTACTGGGAGCAAGGAGGTCGCAGCAGTGCCTGCAGCTGCACCCGCTCTGACACTAACAGTAAACCCCAGCACCAGCAGCATGACAACAAGCAGCACCAGCAGCACAGTCTCCACCCCAACTACAGGTCCCAGTATGAGCCTCCCACTCCCAGTGTTAGAGGAGCTCAATCTTGAAGTAGGGGACCTCAGCTTGATAGCACAAGAAATTCTGGGGCAGGAGGGGGGAAGCAGAGTTTGTGCTCCACACCTCTCAGAGTTCCCCTAGAGCCAGGTCCCTTTCCCCAGAAGGGACTGCAGAGAAGGCTGTGGGGGCAGCTGGCTCGGCTCCTGTTGTTGTACCTCTGCCTGCTGAGGAGAGGGATAAGACAGGAGCCCCACCCGCATCCCAAAAGCGAGGGGGTAGTGTGCTCTGGGATCATTTTGAGGTAGCAGATGATCCCACATATGCTACCTGCCTGCACTGCTGAGCCAGAACCAGGCAAGGGAGCAAAACGCATAAGCACCAAAGGGATGCTGGTGCATCTCCCACAGGCACCACCCCTTTGCCCTTGCTCCTCCTCAGCCTGGCACCAGTGGAAGCATGCCCAACCTCCTAGGTACATAAATTCATGGACTCAATATAGACACTGGAATTCTGACACACTACAACCTGCCAAACATCTGACTCTCCAGGCACCTCTCCACTTCTACCTGCACTGGTACATCCCCCTTCCTCCCACACCCCAGCCTGTCCCTCACCTCATGACACCTCCATTTCCATTTTCAGTGACTGGCTTTCTTGCCTGCATTGCATGCCAGCCTCTGACTTCTTTACTATTCCTTCCATCCAGGAAGAGCAAACACCAACTGCAGATGCTTCCTCAGCCTGACAAAGGGTATTTATACATGAAAGCTTGCTAAAAAGAATGTTTCCAACTATCCAAGTTGGTCTAATGAAAGATATCAGATTTACCCAAAGAACCTTGTCTGCTAAAGACATACAGCAACACACAAACTAAGGGTGAAATCCTGGTTCCACTGAAATCAATGACAAACTCACTGGTCTCAACACCACCAGGATTTCCACCTGAACAACTTGTTCAGCATATTCATTAGTTTCTTTGGTCTCCTTTTTGCCCCCCAGGCCTGGTTCCAGAGCTGTCCCTAGGGGTGTGCAGGGCCCAGGGCATATCAACCTGTCGGGGGCCTGGGCAGGGTGGCGAGCACCTCCACCCGGCAAAGCGGGTGGGGGCGGAGGGTGGCAAGCAGCTGAAGCTGGCAGCGCATGGTGGCAATGGCGGGGCTCATGCGGCACTGACCGCAGGGCCCAGAGCAGTCGCCCCGATTCACTCCCCCACAAGGGATGGCCCTGCCTGGTTCCCTTTAGATATACAAGATGTCTCTCTCTTTCCACATACAGTTCTAAATTAAAATTCATTCTACTGATAAGTAGGCTTAATCATTACACAGCTGTAAGCTTATTCATAGAACTCATTTTTTTAACAAGACTCAGAGCCATTTGGACACGTCTCTCCTAAAAAATAGAAAACTTGGAATGTTGCACCCAAAGTTCTCCTATGTGATTTGCTACTCAGAAATACAAAAACCCTCCCACTTAGCGCTCTTAATTGGTTCCCAAAAAAACGAGCGTTAAGCAGAAGAGCATTAAGCAAAACCTGCTGCCAGCTGTACAATGCCTGTGAGCATTATAATGAAACTCACCGAGCACTACGTGGAATCGGGTATCAATGTAAAACGAGCATTATAGTGAAATAGCACGAAGCAAAACAGCGTTGAGCGGGAGTTGCCTGTATTTATCTTATTGTTTAGCATTGTTTAGTCTATTGTGGTAGCATCTAAAGTCCTTGACTACATTGGGCCCTCATTGTACTAGGTCCTGTACAACCATAAGATACCAAAGCTAATTTCATCTGCAGTCCCTCTTGGGTTTCCTGCTTGCATCAGGTAGGAGGCACACAAGATACTATTAACAGGGACAAAGTTATTTAATAGATACTGACAGCATGGAAACAGCTCTCTCAAACCACAACACCCTACCAAGGAAAAAGATAGAGGCAACCTCTTGACAATGGAAACTCAGATGAACATGTGTGACAGTACTGTCAACACAGCGTGAACTATTTACAAATCCAACTTTTTTCATTTTAGTATGTGTATAAAGCAAAGAAAACTGTATTTACCAACTGCAGGTGCTTCCTCAGCCTGATGAAGGGTTTTCAATGCAAATGCTTGCTATGATATACTTATACAACTATTCAGTTGGTCTACTAAAAGATACTAGATTGACCCAAAGAACCCTGTCTGCCGGTGCCATGTCTTTAGACCAACACCCCTAGTACCTGACCCCAGTCAGCTGACCAGGAGGTGGCAGGGCCCTGGGCACATTTAAGCCCCAGGGCTGGGGCTGGTAGGGAGAGTTCTCTGGCAGCTACTGAAGAAGCTCCTGCAGGAAAGGAAAGAAGGCTCTGTGACAGTTTGGCTGCCTGAGATGCTAGTGCTACTGTGCTGCTTACCAATTGTTATTTAAAGTGGTGGCGCAGACTGAGGCTGCAGGGGAGAAGACCTCATTGGGGCACACTACCGTGTCATGTAGATGCCCCAACACCAGTGAGGGCACAGCAACAGGTGCACAGAGAGCCCAGCGACAACAGAAGGTAGAGTGAGACTGAGACCTCATTACAGGGATGATATTGATATACTATCTGCGAGGCACGGGGCATGGTAAGGGATGGTTGGAGCCATGCATCTAGCCCACAGGGCTTAGGGTGTCCCCTTGAGGCACCTACTTAGAGCGGGTCCCAGCAAGGGGTCCAAGAACCTACAAGACTTAGTGGGACCGTGACGGAGCTGAAGCTCAAGGGCAACCTCCCGATCTATTATCTTTTCCAACAAGACATGGCAGCAGGTGAGAAGAGGTACCCACAGGGCAGAGCTGGCACTGTCACAGGGCCCTAGGGGTATCATGGCCATTTCTAGGAAACCTACTGTGACAAAGTACAGTTTCCCAGAAACCCCTGCTCCTTGAAACTTGGCAGGCTTCCTGCCCTCAGAAGGGGCTACTATTCCTGCAATTTTCATCAGAATTAGGCAAGAAACGACAAAAGTATAGGCCTTTGGCATTTTAGTCATTCCCCATTATAGCCTATGGCCAAGACACTGCAAGTGTTGAAACTGGAAAGAGTTTCAGCCGAAACAAAATGAAACAGCAATTCAAAACACTGAAATGAATTGCTGTCCCATCAAAATGCCAAATCCGAAACCAAAACAAAACGGGTGTTTCGCACAGCCCTACTAGCCAGTACCCATCTCTGCTCCAGGAGGTTGATACTCTCCCTGCTCTCTCCCTCTGTCCCTGTCCCCTCATCAAGTTTACCCGTTTTAAATCACAGTTCCCAACAAGAATTGGCAACAACTGGAAACAGCAGTTGTCTCCAACCCTATGGGTACTGTTAGGGAATAAGGCCCACCAACTGACTTGAGTTTGACACAAGCCATTTGAAAACTCACAGCAACTTAATAGCAAGTAAATATGCAATCAAAACAAACACACCCATAGATATCCATTCTCTGCCACCCCAACACCAAATGTATCTGTTGAAACAGACAACATCTGTTGAACAAAATGAAAGCGTGGTCCACCAGCAGCAACTCTGGATTTCTGCAGCTGCATTCGTCTTTGTAGCTGCAATTCTCTGCTTCAACGGCTCATGCTGATTGATGCAAACCCCAGGAGGAGCTCAGTGTGTCCTACAATACTCTGGTTATGAAATTTAATGTTTCAACATAGCTATATAACTTCTATCTGACAAAGAGTTACATCTTAACTGTAATAACAAAGAGTGATACATTGGGGGAAGAAAACACAAAAGAAATAAAGGTCACGGGCAACATCCTGCTGATTCCCTATTTCAGAGCAAAGTTTAAGAGGTATACTGCTCTGACACCTACAAAGGGCAAAAATAATTCAGTTAAACTCAGGCTCTGTAGTCATCCTCCCTTTTTCTCAGTATTCATTCAATAAGGGTTACGTCATTCAGCTGATCGCATTTTACTAGCTCATAATTCAAATTGATTTAGAAGGAAAATAAGTAACTAAGAAGGAGTTAGATAGTAAAGTAAAACAACAGGATTTAAAGCGACTTATACAAGTAAAAAAGTAACTAAAAATATTGTATACAATTAGTTTTGTTAAACTGTCCTTTATGGGAGCAAGTAAATATCAATAGTTCAACATGTACTCTGAATCTCACACCTCATTTATTCTTGCCTGTATTCCATGGCGTCTCTCAAGCCCTCCCCAAACCTCCCTTTTCTATCACATGACACCACTCACAGAAAACCACCGCTTACTTTTCCCCACCATTTACACACCATCCCTTTTCTTTATCTTGGCAACATGCTCCACAGTGAGATTCATTCATTTATTTCCTCTTTTCCACTATGCCCCAGAAAGGATCATAGGAAACTAGCTCTGAAAGGAAATTCATGAGGTTATCTAGTACAAATACCCCTGATCAAGGCAGGATTATCCTTGACTAAACCATCCCAGGCATGTGCCTGTCTATCCTGCTCTTGAAAAGTTGCAAGGATGGAGGTTGTGTCCATTTCCACAATTTCTCCATGTAACCTGTTCCAATGTTTGATCACCCTCACAGTCCTAATATCCTACCTAAGTTTCCCTTGCTGAAACTTGAGGCTATAGCTCTTTGTCCTGTCCCTTAGAGCCACAAGGAAAAGTCTATCTCCACCCTGTCTGTAACTGCCCTTCAGGTATTTGAAGACTGTTATCAAATCCCCCTTCGGTCTTCTCTTCTCCAGACTTAAAAGCAAAGTCTGCAAGAACTAGGGTTATTAAGTCATGCTTCCCAGGTCTCTAATCATTTTGGTTGCTCTGTGCAAGTCTCTTTCCAAACTATCCACATTCTTCTTGAAGCAAGGGGCCCAAAACTGGATGCAGTACTCCAGGTGAGGCCTCACCAATGCTAGAAAGAACAGAAGAATCACTTGCCTTGAGTTGCAAGTGATGCTGTTGTTGATACAATACAGTGTATTATTGGGGTTTTTTTTGCAACAAAAGCACACTGTTAGCTTCTATTCAGCTTATGGTCTACCATAACCCACAGGTCCTACTCCGCAGTATTGTCCCAAGTGCAGAACTTTACACTTGTCCTTGTTGAATCTCATCTGGCTGATTGTAGACCATTTCTCCAGTGTATTCAGGTCATTCTGGATCCTACCTCTACCCTCCTCATCTGATGCCAAGGCTTCATACCAATTCTCCAGCTGGACAACTGTAGATCCAGAATCACAGCTGTCTGTTGCCAGAGGTGACAAGTTGCCAGCTTTCCCCTTCCAGAGTAAATGCATCTTCTGTGCCTTCCAAAACCTTCTTTGGTTGTCTTCTACAATCCTGGAGGTCTCTTTGTGCATAAAGCTGATGATGGCCTCATGCTCACAGACACTTCTACGCTTGAGTGCCTCTCACAATGAAAGCACTCCCCCACCTGGTTGTCCTGGGCAGGGACATGCCAGCTGAAGTCCCTGCAAAGCCAGACCAGAACCTGGGTGGAAGGCTCAGTGGTCAGTGGCTATGTCTGGACAGAGCCTGCACATGTACAGGCAGCAAAAGTGCTGGTAGTAGCAGGGGCTTTGGCACTGTGATGTTTCCAGACACTCTACTGACTCTTCCGCTAGCTCCTTCTTCCTCTTCTGCTGCTACTTTCTGGAAAAAGAAAAATCCCTCTTCGTTCCTCACTTCCTTCATTGTAAGCTTGCTAAGTGGAAGTAAGGGTAAGAAAGCGTGCCAGGGAAGACTCCCCAGAGAACTCCACTCTCAAACTCCCATTTGCTGGCCTGTTCACTGGTCCTGTACCACTAATCTGGCAAGCCTAGCCTTTCTGCTTAGATAAACCCCATCTCTTTGTTCACACTACAATCAGCCCACTCTTCTAAACAAGCCTACAAACTGGCACCCAAACTAAAGCTACAACACCAAGCCCAAACCAGACAGGCCCTCCTACTCAGCAACACTCAAAAACCCACTCCCCACACAGCCGTGGCTTCCAGCTCCTGTCCCAAGTAGGACTCCCACTCAAATTCCCGTTCGTTAGTCCTGTGCTGCTGTGATCTCTGGTGCTGCTTCTGAGGAAGGGTAAGAGGGTATATCTTGTCTTTCAGGATACTTCAGCTTCTGCTTTGGGAGCAGACAGACACTTACTTCTCTCTTCCTTCTCCTGGTCTCTGAATAATTTGGTTTTTTAGGGAAAATACAGTGGTGAATTTTTAATCTTAATGCTTAATATATGATGCCAATGTAATCTCCACAAGCTATTTGATTTCAAGTGGAAATTAGTCCATACTAATATCTATGTAGTCCCAAAAACTGGTGTTGAGGGTACCTAAAGCCTAGACCTACTAACCTTAATTGAGAGCACTGACACTAGTGGTTAAATTAGACTGACACGGAGTAGTCACAAGACCAGCGGAGGAGCTGTACTCCCCCATCCTACTTCACCTTATCTTAATCTGAAGTGACATACTAATAGCTGTTATGCAACCATGCCATATTGTCTTGGAATTTATTTTTTTAGCAGACCCCATAACAGGATTTTCCACTGCAATTTGAATTAAGTTATTTTTTACAAATGAAACTTATTCATCAGTTTATCTAAGACAAATAACCACACCAGAAACATTTTTATTTTCCCTTCCTTTTATATATTTCTCTAGAAAAGCAATTTTGCTTCTTCTAGAAGTCAGGTGAATAAGTCGGAGACATTCTGCTGAAATGATGTGCATCAAGCAATATGCATCATCAATTACACAGTTATGACTAGAGTATAAAGACAAGACAGAACCTAGATAATCTAGTAAAGAACTGTACACATCTCAAAATCAGTTTGGTTGGTGTCCATCAATGTTTTTCTGAAGTACACTGAAAATAAGTTGATACTCACTGCTCCATGAAGGCTGCCATGTTTCAGGATGATGTCCTGAGATGCTTAAACAAATTTTCTTCCCCACTTCAAACCTTCCATTGGCCTTTGTGGAAGACAGGATTGGGGAGGAAGGAGAAAAAAAACAACAACAACAAAAAAAAAACAAAAAACACACACACTTCATTCTAAAGGCTTCTTGTTAAAACTAAACTTCTACCAAAAATGTAAGGTTATAAAAAGGTCTTTTCCATAGAATAGTTTGTATACAAACTCAGAAACTCTACTGTGGCCAACCATAAAAAGCTGGATCAGTTACTAAGCCACTCTTGACGGTACATGCACAAAGCACAGGTGGCAGTTTCTTTCAGACATAAACAAAAGAAAGCACGTTGTGAATTCTGCTCTACAGGGTACAATATTTCAAATCACAAGAAGAATTTCAATACTTTATAAGCCAGGAATACTATGGAAAAATATTGTAACCAAATAATCAATTGTGTAAAAAAAAAAAAAAATCTTAAGAGTTAAATCCTTTACAACTGCATTTTGTTTCACCAAAACTTATTCTTAATATTTAATTACTCCTCCTAGCTTCTGGAAGTTGCTGTGTTACTAGGTAGAGGACTAAGCACTAAGACTGTCTTTTGTATGTTTCTACTGGGTATACCAAGTAGAAAAAAAAGCTGCTGTACCTTAAAATCATTTCCGCTTCTCTTTCAGTGATAGGAATATTAAAGTATGCTTTACAGTGCCTTTTCACTAATAAAAAATAATCTTACCTAAAGATTAACCTTCAGATCTCATTTAACCTCATTCACACATATAAACTAGATAAATCAAGCTACAGGTGAGCTACTTGTCAAAAATTAACGGTTCAAGGATTTTACGCTTAAAATCTAACTGAAACAACTATGTGGAAAGAATGATAGCAAAATACTCACTGTTAAGAGAATAATGCTTGGTGGTTTCATTGGATATTCTGGTGGTAGCACTATTCGTCCATGATATATTCCTCCATCAAAATCTGAATCTGGAGGGCCTCTAACAGTGAAATGCCATTCAAAAAGATTATCCTAAAATCAACCCCCCAAAAAATCTGTAAGTCATAGAGCACAGGATTAAACACAGACAATCACTTTCTTAAAATAAGCACCGACTGTGGACATACTGAAGAGCAAAAATGTAAACAAATCAGAACCACACTAAAGGAGGATAACAACCATAACACAGAGCAATATTACATCAGTTCTACTTAATGGACAAGTGCTGGAAATATTTCAAAAAATGCTCCCATTTCCAATTTTTCTTAACAATGTACCTGTTCTTAAAAAAGAAAAAAAAAAAAAAAAAAAAACTTTATTGGTAAAGGTTTCTGAGGATGCAATTTTCTATTAAAACCACACGCATATAAACTAGAAGAGCAGACAGCCAGCGGTCGTTATTTATGCAGATTGGAATAACATCCACAGGAGACACAGGGTGTGCCACCCCAGAAAAGCCACTAACCTTTGGCAAGGATTCTTCCCTGAAATAGAAAAGCTGAGGTTTGAGCCCCTAACCTGAGTCACATAACACTGGGATGCAAACGTGGGGCTTCTGCAGTGGCTAAGTGAATGCTTTAAAGGCTGTTCTGCTGTTGCTGCGGGCTCCAGCAGGTACTGCACGGGGCTTGCCGTGGAGCAAGTGCCTGCGGCGCTGGGAGGGGGCTGCAGCCACCCCAAAATTCACTGCAGCTCCGCTCCCAGCACTACAGCCACCAGCCACTCAGCACAGCCCCACCTCAACGCCCTGCCTCCACCCACGTGCCAGGAAAAGCCTAATTAACAGGCAGCTGGCAGCCATGGCGGTGGGAGCAGAGCGGAGCTTCAGCGAAATCTGAGGTGGCTGCAGCCCCCTCCGAGCCCTGCCCCCCACTGAGAAGAGCCCCACGCAGCACTGGCTTGAGCCCGCAGCTACAGCCTGCCTCTCCTGTCCTGTGCAGATGCAGGGTGCAAGCAGTGGCAGAAACTGCACCCCCCTCAAGCCGCAGCTTTGTCCCATGAGCCCCCTGCCCCCTCCTTCCCTCACTGTGGGAAGCACTGATCTGCCCCCCACCACATCCCTTCTCTCCCCTCTGACTTACCAGCTGCAGGCAGTTCTTCAAGCTGCTGGCTCTGCTCCTCACTACCTGCATGCTGCATGGGCATTTATTAGCCAAATTATTGGCCCTATTGGGCCGATATCTGATACAGCTAATTTTCTTTATATTGGTACCGATCTGATACTGGACCGATGTATCATTGCACCTCTAGCTCCTATGAATATACACAGAAACTAACCTCCAAAGGCTGAGCATGGTAATGATCTGTAGGATCCTTCAGTTCTGCAGCTTCTTTCATTAAACGCTTGACAGCTTTAAAAAAAGGAAATCGGACATGTTAAGGTAAGTTACAAATATGCAGAGAACTTTGTATGCATTTAGCAGGACTCATTCTGCTAACAATGTACTTCAGATTGTACAGCACTTGATCTGAACCTTCAAGAGGCCGAGAAGTGACTAACATTACTTAATTCTCCTCCAAGACGCTCACTCTAAATTGCTCAGTTCAGTCACAGGACGACAAAGTTTTTAGAAAAAGAATATGCTTCGTTGCTTCACATTTCCCAAATAAAGTACCTAAACATTAGATTTCTACAGGTAACTGATGGTAATTTATTGAATTAGGCCTTTATGTTAAGACTATGGAAAAACAAACACAAATATAATAATTCACAAGGTTTCACAATTGCTTTCAATGAACGAATAACATCAGCAACACTCTCCAACTGGCTCAGGAATCACAAGAGCAGTCAAGTGTTAACTGAAGAGCCACAACAGCATACACAGCCCTAAGTGAATTATTACAAACACATCCCAGTTCAAACGAAACAACCACTGTATGTTGCTGCCTTTTTCATTATTCCAGTGGCATTTATACACATACCTTTTCGTCCCATGATGTGCCCAAGATCCATCAGGTTGGAACAGACTCAATTAATCAAGTCTGCTCTGCATGTGAGCTGATGTGCACTGCGCTGCAGCACATGCAGTTGTATAAGCAGAAAAATGCTTGTCAGTGCGCAGAAGATGGTGGCAGTGTACTTTTGAACTAAAACACCTTCAGGTGTTTAAAGTGCGCCGCTGCCATTTTCTCAGCATTGACAAGCATTTTAAAAGTACCCGGTGCTGCGGCGCAAGCATATATACAAATGCCCATACTGACTATTCTATACTATGCTTATAAACCAGAGGTAGGCAAAATACAGTGAAGTAATTTTGCCCAGCCTGCAGCAGGTCCCTTGGCCCCACCAGGCAGTGCTGGGGCACTCCTGTCCTAGGCCAGCTTGCTCACCCTGGGATGCCTGTGAAGTAGAGGCAACGCCGAGCCCCACCAGCTCAGCACGGGGCAGAGCAGCACAGAGCAGAGTAGCGTGGGGGCAGTGGCAGCCCCAGTGAGGGCGCTATGTCTGGGGCTTGGTCTCCATGAAGACTGCATGCAGCCAGGTGGGGAGCTGCATCACGGGCCGGCCCCAGCCTTGGCTCTGGCCCCAAGCCTCACTGGCACTCCTGCTGCTGTCGCTGCCCCCACACTGCACCACTCCACCCCACACCGAGGTAAAATCCACATAAGAGGGAAAGCATTCAATGTCTGCATTGCTGATTTTTATGCTGGAAACTTTCTTCACCCATGGAGCTTGAAGTCCAGCAATAACAGCAAGTGCCAGTGCTATAAAGCCTTCTCATACTGCTACTGAGCACTTGAATCCTACCAATTGAAGGAGTCAACAACATAAATGAGTAAAGTTAAAAAAAGTGACATCAACTTTTAAAAAGCAATTTCATCCTACAACTATAGGTACTAGATTACTAAAATATTGAAGAAGTCATGCTTATTTTTTTCTGTTTACTTTATATACTGAAGAGTATGTTGTAATTTTCACTCTCTTCTGTGTTACCAATAAGTCAAGATCCCTACCTGTGTGCAGATGTCTCAGTAACAGCAGAGAGAAAAATCATTAAAGAAATTAGAAAAATGGAGTTACAATGCTACAGAAATTGTTAGGGGAAAATATAAAAGCAAAAAAACTGCTTTCAACTTATTTCAAACTTTACATGTAGATTCTAAACTGACATTAGCTTCCTAAGTTAAGAGTAACTGCTTCCAGACTGCATATACCATAGAGATGCCAGAAAGCTTGCCAGGTAAGCCAGCTGTTTCCCAGCTCCACCTCCTTACAATAACATTTCCCTTTCCTAGACTCACAGAGCTCTTATATTTATCCAAAAAGATATTCCACAGACTCCTGGGAAAGAAGGGAAAACTTCCTGTATCTTCACCACCACTCCCAACCAAGTTTGTGACCTTCCCCCGCTCCTTGGAACTACAAGGCAACAAAAGACCTTTCTAATTTCTGTAGCTGAACACTTGTAGGTTTTGAGATACTGATTGAAGACCTATTAATAATTCAGAAAAAAGGGACTGAGCTGTGGGCTGTGTTTGATACCCCTGCTTTAGCAGAGTTAGATTTAACTGCGGGGAATATAACAGTATAGCAGAGTAGTGTGTTGATATCACCCACAAAAATCTGTTTATGACAATGGTAAATTTATTTAGTACCCTTAATACCCTCATATCTAGCACATTTAACTAATAAGTACAGATTTTAATACTGTTTTGTGTATTTTGAATTATGTTTTCCAGCCAAAGATTTTTTAATCAGCTACCAAAAATGAAATGCGTTGTGTTCTAACAAGAGAGAGAAAAAGAACCTAAGTAGTTGAATAATCGCTATGCTATGCAAGCGCTTAAACACCTGGAATATGTTCCCATTAGCAAAAAGTGCCAAATTTAGCATAAAGGCTACATTTAGCTGCCAATCACCATGTTTTAATGGGTACCAACCAACAAAAATCTTTACGGAAAAAAAAACCAAGCAGCACCAATGCAAAAAGTTTAAAATCAACTATTTAAATCAAGAATGATTGCTTGCTGATTTAAGTCATTGATAAAATTAGAGACTGAAAACATTTCATGTTTTTGTAATAAATAAAGAACTGAGTTATAAAGTTTAACTCAGTTCTTTATCTTTTAAAGCACTCTTTTAAACTCAAAAGTTTTAAAAGTGTGGAGAAATCACAAGCCGGTTGAATTTAGAATTCAGTTTTGTTACAGTAGCTGTATTTTGCTATTTAATGCAGCTGTTGACCACTAGTTTCATTTTGAACCATCTTTTGTTGAACACAATTAGGATCTTGTAACAGCAGTGGGGGAAAAAATTTCCAGATTAACCACAGGTACTTGCTCTCTCCACCCAGTTACCAAGGCTGCATTATTCAGTGCAATGCCATTCTTTCCAGTGACGTGGCAAGCCATAACAAATGGGTGTGCTTGCATGCCTCATCAGTTGACATATGCAATAAACCAAACCTAAATATACTTAAGTGTGTCAGATTTCCTAAGTTGATTATTTTAAAAAGTTATCATCTTGTACTTTTGTCTGTGTGACCCTTCTACTTACAAGTTTTTTTTTTGAGAAGTCACAGCTCTAATGTATTTGTTGCTATATGAAAATATATGATATCAATGAAGATGATTAGGAGCCTGAGAGGCATGACTTACAAGTAAACACTGAAAGAACTAGTGTTGGGTTATTTAGTCTTGAGAGGAAAAAATTGAGGGGAATTTGATAACACTTCAAATACCTGAAGGGTGATGATAATAGAGCTCTGTATACATTGAAAGGAAGTGGGAGAATACTCCCAGGTTTGTTCTCATGGTAGAGAAACTTACCTAAAGCCACATACCTCATACAGACATTCAGTTTCTCCTGGGAGAGTCACTGCTCTCTTAGGAGAAACCACAAGTGTACAGATGATCAGGCTTTTCACCAAAAATAAAAAAAGGCCACTCCTGGAGAAAAATAACCTGGGAACAGCCAGGGTTAAATCACTCCCAAATGTCTGTACCTGACGGGGCTTCTTTCAAAAGAGAACAGAGTCCTCAAGTTTCAGCAAGAAAAATTTAGGTTGGAGATTAAGAGGAACTTCCTGACTGAGAGACTGGTCAAGAAATTGTGGAATCTCCATCATTGGAGGTTTTCCAGGAGCAGGTTAGACAGAAAATTAGCTGGGATGGCTTAGTCAGGGATTATCCTACCTTGAGCAGAGGACCGTACTAGATAACACTGTAAGGTCCCCTCCAGCACTCTTCTCAAATGATCAGGCATGTCTAATGTGTTTGCTATAACTATAAACTATTCCTATGTATTACTCTGAAGCTTATGCATTTGGTGAAATAAGCTTTTTTGACATGTACTTAAAAAGCAAATTAACAAGATGCATCTATTTCAGTGCAAGCATGGTACATGGGAAAGAACACATAAGAGGAAACTATTGTGTTGCTATATACAAAATGTTTTTGACAAAAGTCAAACTATGTACAGAAGCCCATGTAGTGTTAATAAATTAACAGGGAAAATAGTCAGGAAATTCTAAGCTGAGGTAAAAACTAAAAAAAAAAATTATGAAACGACTTTTCATTTTCATACATTTCAGTACTGCAAATTAAATTACTCTAAACAACTGACTGCATTCTAGTGCAGCCTGGGTCACACAAGTGAGGAACACCTATAATGTGTTCTTAGTCTATAAAGTGCAAATTGGACCAACCGGCTAGCAGCCTCTTAAGACGGGTGGGTCTTTTTTTTTTTTTTTTTTAATAGATGCAGGGCCTCCTAACTTCACATTCCCATAACCAACTACCTCTCTCTTGTTTACAACATAACATAGTTCCTTTTACTGCATGCCAGGGGGAAAGCACACCCCTCAACAAAGGTCCAGTGTTTACAGACATGAGGTCTGCTCTCTTCTTCTGAGCAAGTGTCACTGTTCATGGGGAAGGCCAGGTATGTCAACCAATTGGTCATGCCCAACTCCACTTGCACTGACAATACCACTGCGGCTTCAGACAGGAATTGGAGGAGACTGGCAACATACAAGGACCAGTGGGAGTTAACTGCAGGTCGCCAAACAGATTACACATTGCAGCCAAACGTACGATCCCTTGTTTTTAAAGTCGCGCACAATGGCTAGCAGCGGCCACAAGTGCTAGGCTCATGTCAGGGCCTTTAATGAGAACGACTGTATGCCTTCACTGATGGTGGCCTGGTTTTCTGATGGTTGCATCCCTAAAAAAATTCAGCACTCCCCCCACCTCCACTCCACATTTCCGGTCTTCATTCCACCTCACGTTTACCAACAACAGCGATCCTCCCCAAGGCACCCTCGAGCCTTTCACGGGTGCTGCAGGTGGGGGCTCTCGCGCAATGTTAGCGCTGTACACACTCGAGCGCGACTCAGCCGAGACACCCAGAGATGTCAGGTCGGGCATGAGGACGCCCTCTGCCCACGGATTCCACCAGCTGGAGAGGAACGGCTCCCGTGCCTCCGGGCAGCCGGGAAAGGAAAACCAAAGGGAAATGAAGTGCTGACGTTTCCCCGCCGGGGGTGGGGCGCCCTCAGTCTGACAGAGGCTGCCTGGGGCCTGGCCAGCTGGAGCCCCAGCGGCTTGAAGGGAGACGCCGATGGGTGCCCCGGGCTCCAGGGCAGGCCAGGGCAGCTCAGTCCCGTCCCTCCCCTGCCCGCCCCTCCCCCCGCAGATCTGAGCTTGGCCGCCCCCAGCTCCTGCCCCTGGGGGGGCAATGCCCTGCCCTGCCCTGCCTGGAAGCTGCCCCGGGCCTCGCGCAGGCGCGGACAGGGCAGGCCGGCCGGGGGTCCAGGCCG